TCTTCTATTGTTGAATTCTGTTTGTCGGTTCATTTGATGTGCCGACAAACAGAATTCAACAATAGAAGAAATTTAGCATCGAATAAGAATACAAATGATTATATGACAACTCGACAATCACATCAATCAACACGTGCAACGATTAACCAACAGAGCGGATACCCATCAAACGAAGCAAAATGTTACATGTGCGGACAAAAAGGACATTTTAGAAGAAACTGTCCATATCAATATAACACCTATCAACACCGGAATTCGTGGCATTACTCAAAAAACGACAATGGAGCACATGGTGGACGGGTCCATGGCGCTCCAATGTAAAATATCCCGTTCAACTATCCGCCGAAATTCATACTATGAACATTTATAATAATACTCCATTAATATTACAAGGTATGATTGCAGGAAGACGAACACAACTACTTATCGATTCTGGAGCATCGCTCACATTAATTAATCTTCAATTCTTTCGACGACTGCCACGATATTATCGTCAAAGAGCATATCCCCCTCCATCCAATTTATGTCTTCAATTGGCGGATAGATCACAACTCGATGTTAAATATGCATTATCACTTCCAATAACCATCTCCAACTCAACTCGTGTACATAAAGTCTACGTGGTCCCAAAATTATGGCGGTCGTGTATTATTGGTAATGATTTAATACGTGAACACAATCTTCAAATAGATGGTGGACAACAATATGCATACTTCAAAGCGAAGAAAAAAAATACACAGCTGCAACAGGAAAGAAAAGAAACAATTAAGAACGATGATGAATATGTGTTGATTGCCAATGAGCGTGTCAAGATTTCACCATTTCATGCATTTAACATTGAAGTTAAACCAAATAAACCATTCTCAATTATAGAAGAAGATGACAGAGATGAATATGAAGTATCATCAATAAAAGAAACTCCACGTGTAGCCAACGGCATTATTACACCATGTGAACATATGACACTGCAGGTAGCTAATCTAACGGAAAGAACGATTATGATCTATAAAAATCAGCCGCTGGCGACAATGACTCGTCTTAATCAAATTCAATTAAATATGATGCAACATGGAACAATATCATCAG